ACTTTGCAGAGGCGTGTCTCGTGGCATTGTAAAATCAAGAATATGGAAAACATTTAACTGCCCAAATCAGATTAATAAATAATACCGTTTTGTGTTATTTTTGATGTGCTGTATCTAATCTAAATAAGTGCATATCTTAAAACAGCTCATTCTTTTCTAGAAAAAAAGTTTGAGATCAGTGAAAATGCTTCTATTTTGCATTTTTCTAATTTAACAAAAATGATATCTTACTTATATTAATATTTTTATTATAAATAATAAAATATAATATTAATACCCTACTGCTCAAAAGTTTTGGGCTAAAGATATTTTTGGAAAGAAATTAATATACTGTTATTCAGCAAGGATGCATTAAATTTATAAAAAAATAATAGTAAAGACACGATTTATAATGTTACAAAAGGATTCTGGATAAAAAGTATCACAGTTTTGCAACTTTAAACAGCACAAAGCACTATTTTAAAGATAACAATAATGCAAAATGTTTTAAGCAGAAAATCAGCTTATTAGAATTATTTCTGAAAGATCATGTGACACTAAAGACTGGAGTAATGATGCTGAAAATAGTAATAATATTTCACAATATTACTGTATTTTTGGTCAAATAAATGCATGCTTAATGAGCATAAAATACGTATTTCAAAAAAATCTTACGGACCCCAAACTTTTGAATAGTGGTGTATATAATATTTAAATACATAATAATGCTTTAAATATATTTTATATGATTTCATATATTAAAATAAAAATATATATGAATATTATATTTATATTATAAATACAATTATTATGTATAATACTTATATTTAATGTATACAACTTATATTATCAGTGTAATGAGTGATAAGGATTAAAAAAATGATCATACGTTTCAGAATGCCTTAATATTTGTTTTGTCTCCATTTTGCTTTAATGACAGCAGCGCGGCTGAAGCTGCATGAACTGAGTGAAACCTGATGATCATGTTCTCCAGCATAATTTGAAAAGTATCCAAAGAGCATCTTGTGCTTCATGGAAACAAGAACATCTGACCATCTGTACAAAAGGATTTGACATGCTCAATTTTACAAATTTGCTTATTTGATTAGGGACCCACAAATAGTGCAAAAGCATCATAACACGTCGTTCCTTGTTTTACATTGTTCAAAAACGAAACATTGCTTGTTTCCAGGATTTTTTTCAGATTTATAAAATCTCAGACTTCCAGACACCAATCTACATGCTCGACTCCAAGGGTGGAGTGTGTATCATGCACTCTCCCAAAAGTAAGTGTCCCTGTGTGTCTATGATCTGGCCAGCCATGCCGTCCTCATGCATTCTTTATTTGGATCGTGGCACCTCCTATTCCCTCTGCACTTGAATGGCTTCTGAACATTCCTGCCTGAACATCCATCCCGCTCCCCTTACACTGAGCTATTTCTGGGTGCATTTCACCACAGGGCCTGCAACATGCCCTGCTATTCGAGCTCAAACCTGTGAGCCATTTCTGCCATTATGACACGACTAAAAACAAGCAGCTGAATCTTAAAAATGTGTTTGTTTGTGCGAGTATTTGGTTAGAAATGTCAATTGGATGATGGAATGCACAAGCACAGAATTCGATATGAGCAGTGTAATGAAAGACTCCTTACCATCTGCCTCTTATTCTCTATCAAATGAGCGCCAATGATTCCCAGAAAGGACCCGAAGCCGAGCTGAAAATATCACAGGGTGAAACTCAAGTCATGAGAGTTGCAACTCTATATAAAATATCAACCTATTTCAAAGTCTTAAAAGTAGACGACCTCACTTCATTATGATCCCACATACAATCTCCCATTCCCACAAAGTCTTTTGTCTTTCTACAAGCAGTATAGTTTATTTGATGGTGTGGTCAACATCCGAGTTAAGAGCTATATATATGAAATCTGGCCATGTCCCCAACATATAGTATTTCAAAACAGTCAATCCCTGCGGAATACTAGGAAAACACCTGTTACTTGTACAAAACGTTCTGGACTGTTACTTAAGCTTGTATGTTTTCTCCTAGAGTGTTGAACAAAATGATACTTGCTGTTGAATAATAAATGGATGAGTTCACTCAGTTCAACCGTACAGTAATGAGGTAATGGCCACCGGTCACCATAATGGCAGGCCAAGCGGAAAATAATTAAACATGAGGCCTTTCCTTCCCTGCAGTACTTTACATCACAAACCCATTTATAGAACAAGAGGATAGTTTGCAGTCTGTTTTACGCACGACTATGAACATTAGTAGCATACTTACAATGACTCCTGGATAGTAGCCACCGACAGTGATGTTTTGTGTCCTGGTAGTAGCGGCTAGACCAAAGACCAGGATGAGTATGGAGACAACAAGGAGCATCACTGTTACTATGATGGACTTTCTTTTCCTCCTCTTAAATGACCCTGGAAAAGACAACGGAGTAGGAAGAAGCCACGGCACAACACGCCCTTCCCCTGGGCAGCATTTGGTTACTCCTTCTTACATTTTAAGCACGTTCGTTTTGGGGTGAAGGCAGCAAAGCAAAACAACCACTGTATTTGACCTCTTGTATGTCTATAGTATCTACAACCGCAAAGGCACTGCCACAACCCAGAAACTCAGAAAGATGTAGGTGATGCAATATGATGGGTTTCTATCATCAAACAAAACATGTTTAAACTATTATAACCGCATAAAAACAAAATTTCACTTACGGTTGTGTATTTTTTATTAACAATATCAAACAGTGCTACATCGACATTCGTTGGGGGCATCCGAGACATGCAGGAATGTAGGTTACGGGACGCTTATTTCTCTCTCGTGCTAATATATTCTAATAATTAGGATGAATAAACGTTGCTAATCGCATTTAAATGTAAATACAAGCGTAAATTGTCCTCCGTTTTACCGTAATGGTCTGCGGGCGCAGTGAATGCCATTGACCTTGTACTTACCCATCGCATCTGAGATAGGAATACCGCTGCCTTGCGCATTCAGCCCCGCTGGCATTGTAACGTCAGGATATGCAGCATTAGCTGCAGTTATGACTTCAAGTCAAAAACAAAGAACCTAGTCAATAAGACAAAGACGCCTTTCCTCAGAGCCAATGGATGGAAACTCTTTTCCTGCCGTGGCATTCTCTGACACCATGCGTCCCCCGTGTAGCCGCGCTTCTCTCATCAGCATCTGGGTCTGTTGTTCATGAATCCGCTGCCCTCATCCCTTCAGCAGAACGCCGCACGGAGCACAGCACTGCGCATGCGCAAGGCAGAACCGCTCGCTGTGGGTCAGGATAGGAAGACATTGCGATTCGGTTCTTTCGAGCAGTCCGTTTCAGAAGAAACCTACCTGTTCAAAAATAGATTCAGAGGTTGTCCCTGAATGCATGTAGCACGCTTTAAACGTTCAAGTGAAGTCATGTGCAATTCGTGCATGTCACAAATTGCTGTTTATTACTTAAGGGTGTTTGTAATTTCATGCTTCCTTCCAATCAGTTTGCAGCCGTGATTCAGTTAATAAAAACTAAAGTCATTTAGAACTTAAATAGAATTACAAAGAACGACTACAACCATACAGGTTCTTGTATGCAGTTGCTAGAGTGCAAAACAAATTTCTAAACAATTCTACATATATTCACGACGTTTTATAGAGAAATTCGCGTTTCGCAGATTATTTTACCTGCTACATAAAGTAACAGTTTGGTTGGTTAACACGAAAATACTTTAAGAACATTCAATATAATCTATAAAATAATACTTTTGTGTAATTTGTCTACAAAAATGGCTATTTTGAAAGTCTCAGAACTAGAAGCAATATTAAAGTAATGAAAGTGCGCCATCATCAGGTAGATAGGGAAATAGAAACACAAAAGGTTTGAAAATAAAAATCAACGTTTCTGAGTTTAAAAAAAGTTCTTAAGTTTTCCCCCCCATTTTTTTTACTTGCATTTTTGTTTATTTTATGGTTCGCTCGTGCAGCTTGAGATCTAATTGACGTACACCAGGCTCCTCATGTATAGCACACCCATTGTTTATATTGATGCATCTCTTTCTTAGTCTCTCTCTCTCTCTCTCGCTCTCTCTCACTCTCTCACACACACATAAATAAATGAAAGTATATATCATGTGTTGCAGAGTTCAAAATATGTGTGCAGTTAAAGGCATAGTTTGAGTCCTACTTAGTTTTATGGTAACACATTATGCTAATTGCTGCTCCCACAGCAACATAGGCCTATTTCATAAAGGCTGGTTGTATTTAAGTAAATGTAACTGAATAGAAGTTAATGGATTTTTAGATCGCCTTTAATTTTTTACCAAAACGAGCATAGGCTACTACTTAAGTGTTTGCTTGCTTGTGTAAAAACTGAAGGAAATAAAACGCTACATTGAATATATTGATCTCTATTCCTCCAGCCCAGTTTTGTCACAAAGTAAATGATTGCATCTGCTCGTTTCAGTCCTTGATGGTCTTTCTTTGAATGACCTGCTCTTCACCAAAGAAAGCAGAAAGAACCAGACAAGACCGAATTTTCCATGACGCGATTTCTTTTCAGGTTTAAAAAAATCAGCGGGTTCACGGAGCTCAACGTGATCTGTGTACAAATATTAAGCTTGATGTCAACTTTGTGAATTTATTACGCGTTTGACGCCAACGCAGACTAAAGCTGGCACATATTTCACCATTTTGCGTTTGTCTCTTTAATCCATTATGTAATGCGCGTGAATACTCTCTCCAGTTTAACAGCCCAGCGAGTCAATGGGGATTGTTTAGTGACGGGTCCTGCATACTAACCCTCACTGTTCTAATGTGGTTGCTGATTCCGTACTTAGTGATTGACAACGGCAAATGTAGATCAGAACAGAAACGTATAATGCTGTTGGTATTTGCATAGAGCTTGTTTCAGCAGACAATGAGACTATGTGGTGTGCGTGTGCAGAATTCCACACAACACTAAACGAAGCTGCTGCCAAAAAAACTCCACTTTGTATCCCACCCCCACTTTCCTTCTCCAGCTCAAGTCCATTCACTATGATGCTCGACTCCTAGCGAGAAGCTCCTCCGCATCCGACATCCGCTGTAAGGAGAAAACTCAATGAAATTCAAGAACAATTCTTGACCAGAATTAACGTTTGTGCAGCCAGCGTGAAGTGAACCTGAAGACATCGCCTCAGTGCATTCATCAAGACTTTATTTTGGGGGGCACTTTAAATATAAAAGTTTTTTCCTAAGGCCCCCCCCCTCCCCGTTTTTCTTTACAGAAGACATCGAAATATTCTCTCATCTTCTTAATATTTTTAAAAAAGGCATAAAAAAAAGTCTGAACAATTATTTCACACAGTATTTGACTTTCCTGGACTGCTGCAGACTTTATTCGTGGGCTGAAATCTCGCAGTAAATCGCCTGGACCGCTCGTATATGTGATTGGTTTAACAAGTACCTTTATTCTTCAGTGAGAGATCATGGAGCGCGACTCTACCGCGGGAGGGGCGGAGGACCTGCTCCTGGAAGACACAGTTTCAAAACTGGCAAGTGACCATAACCATAATGCACCAGAGTTATGTGGTTACTTTTGATTAGGGCATTGTAATGACCATACCTTGCTGGATTTAGTGCTCGGTACAATATATAATAGTAAACTATATAATAGTAGGGTAGGCTATTACCCAATTGTTGGTTTAGTATCAATTTTTAAATTCATTACTGGTACAGTAAAACTGTGTCACCCAAGTTTTTCACCTGCTCATCATTATTTAGGTCAATTAATATGGGCAATTATTAATTAATATACTCAATATATTACACTAGGCCTATTGCTATATTGTAGCTAGTAAATGCATTTGAAAATTCCTCTGGTATCTTCAGGAGCTTTTTCTTCCTGAGCTGGTTGTTAAAAATGTATTTTATTGATGTAAGCAGGTTGAATCGGTCATATTAAATAACAAATATGACAGGTAAATATTAAGTCAATTTCCTGTCAAAAAAGTAGTTTTATGGCAACATATTACATTAAGATTGAATTAACATTATTTAATGAATTAGGTATCACGAACAATTTATATGTCATGCTCATTCACAATACAGTAGTAAATGTTTATGAAACTTGAAATGTTTCTATATAGAAATTAACATTAACCTGGATTAAATATTCTTTTTCATTGTTAGTTAATGATTGCATTAACTCATGCTAACATACTGAACCCTCATTGTTTCCAGCTTTACAGTTTTTAAAAGCACAATTTATGTGTGTCTTGATATTGAGAATGAGTGTCTAACATCTGGCTGAAGAGTGACCCTGCAGATCTTGTGCAGCTGTGAGAGGTTAGATCTCCCAACATGGGTCAGCGAGTGTGTGGGTCCTCTTCTGCCTCTCTTAGATCAATGGGATTGTGAAGCGTCTTTCATTCACACTGCTTTCATGCACTCGCTTTTCACTTTTTTGAAGATAAATATTTGTCTAACCCTTCTCCTAGCCTTTCCTTTGTCTTTAAGAGACAATACCATCTACATTAAAGTGAGTTTTTAAGTGGTCTTTTTTTTACTAATATGATTCAGAACGTACTTATTAACTTTCCATATTGTGTTTAGCGTGCAGGATCACTTCACAAACACGAACTAGCTGAGGCCATGGAAGTGGAACAAGAAGGACTGGTAGAACATCAGCCTCTGGAGCAGGATGACCTTAACTTTGAGAAATGGAAACCCAAGCCAAAGCCCAAGAGGACACTGCATGAGAAAATCGACGACTTAAAGACTTACCTGTGGAACGCAGAGACTAAGGAGTTTATGGGCCGCTCGGGGAAGAGCTGGAGTGAGTAACAAGACAAAATTATTTTGAATGTACACAACAAGATACTCGTTTCAACGGCAAAACAAAGGGCGTTTGTCTGTGGGTGAGGGAGTGCATCCAAATTGTACTTGGACTGTAAACTAAGTCTTTAATTAGTGATGTTTAGTCTCGCCGTAGAAGCAAAGGCAAGTGAGACTATTGCTTCTTGTTTTAGCTCATTATTTTCCATTTTTAGAGGAGTTATGGGAATGAGCTGCGGGGATGAGGGGTGATGAACTGTGCTTCTGCTCGCTCAAGTGTGTGTGCATGTACACTTTGTCACTGTGGGTGCATGTCTGTGTGCATGTCCAAACTGTGTTTACATAGGTGCACAGATAGCTTAGAGACATCTTGACAAAAACAGACTGCCTGGGGAACGGTCCTCAGTGGGAGAGCGAATGTCACAGTCCCTTCGCTGGCCCGGGATCACATTCCATTTACCCCTACCGTGCTTTCCTCTCCCTCTTTCCCAAAGCCCCCTTGACCTCCAGATCTCCTCCAACACGCTCTCAGATCTACGGCACAACTTAACATGTAGCCTTTTTTTGTCCGAGCTCAGAACTTTTTTGGCAGCAAGCATTTCCTGAAGACGTCCGACGCGGACAGAGCAGCCAATCGCTGCTGCTAAACATCCTGATGCTAAGCAACACAGCAAATTCGGGACGAGTGCTCTAAACATCAATATGAAGGTTTCCTGGGGATACAGAGGGAAATCTCAACGCACCAATATCCCGTGTTGAGCGTTTGTCGTAATGCAACATCTCTATGCTTTACATGGGCATGATATGATGGGGAATGTGCTGGAGGTGGATTAAATAAACAGCCGTAGTCTTCCTTAGCGCAGGGGAGGGGCTGCTGGAGGGCTGTGATGCATGTCCCATGAAAGGAGAGTGCAGAGGCCCCACAATGCCAGAATGGGGTGATCGGGCTCCTTGGAGCTGGCTGTGGCTCTGTATGGCTGCAAAAGACCGTCACTGTGATGGCAACCGGAGGTTCACTGTGTTCCTGAGTGAAAGGACAGCTGGGAGAATTTTCACCAGGCTCAAACAGAAAGGCCTTTGTGGCTGGGGGCACAAGACGGGCTGCAGCTAGTCCCTGCGAAATTGTCTGCGCAGCAAAAGCCGTTTAGTTTGACGACACGTCCCATTTGATCAGCTGCTAATGAACTCTTAATTGAAAGTTGCTGCACTCTGGTTTTTGCTGGGTCTCATATGATAAGTTTAATTGACTTTAGTGTTTTGAACACTTTCACAATGGAAAGTTTATTGTGAATGAATGATTAATATAAGGTTTAGTATTTGAATGGTCAACTAAATCAATAATACATAAGAAATAAATTCCTATATGAAAAACGGTATCAACCTGATGGTGTGCGCATTTCAATTGACTAACTCCTTATGTAAATCAGTGATTTACAAGAGGTTTCATCAATGCAATCCTGCTTTACTCATCAATATTTTCTTATCTTTTTCAGGCCTTATTCTGCTCTTCTACTCAGCATTATACATTTTCCTTGCGGCTATGTTTGCTGGTTGTATGTGCTGCCTGATGTGGTCAATTAGTCCATATGCTCCCACCTACAATGACAGAGTGATGCCACCAGGTTGGAAAAAATAGCATTTTACTTTGTGAATATTCAAAGAGTATGGAAAAAAAGCTGAATAATTATTGTGTAAATCTTTTTTCAATTGTATTTATTTTTCATATAAATTAATCTAAAATGTATTAGTATTTAAAATCCCGCAACCCTAAGGGAAGATAAGCGGTTTGGAGAATGGATGGATGATTTAAAATTACAATAGTAAATAATTTTAAATGAATAATATTATTTAAAAAAAAATAATAATAAATAACAATTTTTCATTTAAAAATAAAATGAATTTAAATAAGTATATAAAATAATATATAATTATTATAAAATATATCATATATAAGTATATAAAACACAATTCTAATATAACACTGTTATTCCTGTTTTTTCACTACACTTCAAAATCCTGTCTTTCTCCCGGCAGGTATGACAATGTTTCCTCATGTAGATGTAGCTCATGGGTTTGACGTTGCTTTCAACGCCTCTGACCGAAGCTCGTGGAGGAAGTATGCGAAAGCACTGGAAGCCCATCTGAAATGTAAGTCCTGGATGAGAGAACAACTAAGCTTATTGAGTTTGGTCTTACACTCTTTAATAGGGAAGATACGTTTTCTGTTCAGCGGGCACAGATTCAAATCACTCCAGCACGCTGTTTAACAAGTCCTGCGGTCTATAGAAATACTGACAAGGAGGGAAACCCTTTTGTGCGCTCAGTGTAACTGCTCAGGGCTGCCAGGGCCCCACTTTTTGTGCTGGCCTGTAAGTTGTAGAGGCCAGGCTGGGCAACAGCCATTGTTTGGTTATTTTATGGTCCCTCTCTCTCTCTTCTCTCTTCCATCTCTTTTATTACGGTTTCCCGCCGTGGCTGCGTTCAGCCTATGACGACGGAGTGCAGGATAGGCGGAACATTAACTGCGAAGGAAATACATATTTCATGCAAGATGACTTAGAGGAGAGTGCCGAGCGCAAGGCATGTCAGTTTAAGAGGTCTTGGCTGGGTGAATGCTCCGGCATGAAGGACAAAGACTTTGGCTACTCAAAGGGAAAACCCTGCATCCTCGTCAAAATGAATCGGGTGAGATTATAATATAATATACAAGTGGAGAATTAAGATGCAAAAGCCTCTAAGTTCTGTCTGAAATTGTCTTCTAAAATTATTATTTTTCTCAGGCTCCTATGTTTATGTTCAGTTATTTCACTTTAATGGCAATTTAAAAAAAAACTTAATTGCCATTAAAGTGGAATGACTGAACCTACACATAGGAGCCTGAGAAAAATGCTAATTTTAGAAGAAAATGTCAAATGGCACTTAGAGGCTTTTGCATCTGAACTCTTCAAATATTATTTGTTTGAAGAACAAAACCTCTCCAAAAAAAAGAATAAAGCTCTGAAGCTCTAGTGCCATCTTGTGGTTAAAATAAGCAATGACTAAATGAACAAATTTAAATTGAATTTTTAGTGATATGTCAGACACTTGACTCTTTTCTGTTGTGAAAGATTCTCGGGTATCTGCCTGGTCAAGGCACTCCAGTACATGTTACATGTGGAGTTAAGGTAACAATTAATGACTAGAAACTAAATAAAATAACTACACAATATAACAACCCAGTTTCTTTGCAGTATTTGTCATTGATTTCTCCAATGTTTTTCCAGAAAGGGTCAACTGAAGGCCTTGGAGAAGTCCAGTTTTTTCCAGAAAATATCTTCAACTTGCGGTACTATCCCTATTATGGGAAACTGAGACACGTGAGTGATCCTACTTAACATGTATCCCAGAATTCCTCATGATTTAATATTTAATAGCATTTCTCACTATTTCCACCAACAGGTAAACTACTCTTCCCCGCTGGTGGCTGTGCGCTTTCCCAGTGTCCCGTATGACACCCAACTACACGTTCAATGCAAACTAAACGGCAAGGGCATCATCAACGATTCACCAACCGACCGTTTCCTGGGTAGTGTGTCTTTCACTTTACAAGTGGGCGCGTAGGGTGGCAGTAGACCTAGAGAAATTGAAATTAAAATTCTCAGAGTATGTTATAATAAATGAAATAGCACACTGGGTGTTGTCTTTACCCATTAGCCCTCTGATTATGCCTCCGGCAGCCACTGTGCTATTCGCGTCAGAGCTGTGTTACTACACTACTTTTTCAAACAAGGAATTTCCCAGTAAGCAAAGACTGAGATTCATAGATCACATTTATAGATCAGCTGCTAGAGACTGACACCTGCCTGGATTTCATTATAGGATAAAATGAAATATGAAAAGATGTCCAAATACAGTATGTAGGTCGCAATTATAGCTATTGAGGCATAATCACTCAAACGTACGGTCTACAGTGAGACGTAGGCAAAACAATTATCTAGATCCGTGTAGATTGTAGAATTAACATTTATTAAACCTTTTTGATCAGTTTGCTAAGTCAGATGTGTATATAACACAAATTAAAACTGAACAAATATATTTTTTTTATGATTTTCTCCGTTAAGTCAGTCTCCTTTCAATTCCCCCTCTGGATGAAGAAAAAGGCCGAAAACTGCTTAACATTATCCTTTTGCTTGCTCATTTAATTAAATAATCAGATGTGGTTTAGAATTAATAATCGATTGTACATTTTTGGACTAAATTTTTCTTTCCTTTTTTTTGGATGTGCAACTAAATTTTGAATTCAGAGGCAAATGTATTTTACTGAAATGCGGGACAGAAATCCCATTTCATCATTTTCACAAAGCTTCATAATGAAATACGAGCTGATATTTCTTTTGTCAATCATGCAACCAACACTTCTTAAAAACTAAATAGAGAGTCACATAATTCATCTCTGAGTGAAACTATCTGCTCAATTGCCTGTAAGGAGGATTTCAACAGTATTATTTATTAATTGTATGTGAATATATTGACATGGTACAGTTACAAAGTGTAATAGTGAGATGGAAATTGGTAACTGCACATCTTTGTTATTCAGTAAATGCATCGAAATATCCACTAGCTGACAAAGATTTGCCAGCTCATGTTTTTAAACGCACTCACGTTTTAGCATAAACAATAAAGATGGATGAGAATTAACGGAATCAAACCTTTCTGCTTACTTCTCCGTTAAGTCAGTCTCCTTTCAATTCCCCCTCTGGATGAAGAAAAAGGCCGAAAACTACTTAACATTATCCTTTTGCTTGCTCATTTAATTAAATAATCAGATGTGGTTTAGAATTAATAATCGATTGTACATTTTTGGACTAAATTTTTCTTTCCTTTTTTTTGGATGTGCAACTAAATTTTGAATTCAGAGGCAAATGTATTTTACTGAAATGCGGGACAGAAATCCCATTTCATCATTTTCACAAAGCTTCATAATGAAATACGAGCTGATATTTCTTTTGTCAATCATGCAACCAACACTTCTTAAAAACTAAATAGAGAGTCACATAATTCATCTCTGAGTGAAACTATCTGCTCAATTGCCTGTAAGGAGGATTTCAACAGTATTATTTATTAATTGTATGTGAATATATTGACATGGTACAGTTACAAAGTGTAATAGTGAGATGGAAATTGGTAACTGCACATCTTTGTTATTCAGTAAATGCATCGAAATATCCACTAGCTGACAAAGATTTGCCAGCTCATGTTTTTAAACGCACTCACGTTTTAGCATAAACAATAAAGATGGATGAGAATTAACGGAATCAAACCTTTCTGCTTACTTTTCCATTCTCTTGAAAAGCAACAAATCAGTTGTGATATGCATGAGATTGTCTACAATGATAAACTGCTTGAGATGGTCACTTAGAATAAATGACAAATTCTAACTTCACAATCTTTTGAATGAAAAACACGACTAAATTCAAACTCAAATGCAGTTATGTGCATTCAGTAATAGGCAGATCTTACTGTAATATGCAGGCCCAAGTAAGATGCTTCTAGTATTCCAGTAACCGATGCATCAGTAACATTTATAGCAACACTGCTGATCTAAGTCCATCAAATAGAAGCTAGAGGTTACGACTGATAGTCATGTGAATCGTGTAAAACTAGTTGCTCAACACCTCAGGCCTAACATATGAAATCAACATGTTCTGCTGAAATTCTTAAACTGAGATCAGAGAGGACAAAAAGAGAGGGAGACTACTGTACAAAAAAAACCATTTTATTGAATTTTTTTTCCACTTTGAAACTTGAACCAACATTCCTAACCTGACAGATTAAGGTCCTACAGAGAAGGAACAAAGAAATGTAACTAAAAGGCACACTATAGTACAACAATGATATTTTCTTTGTGTTTGTTTTAATAGCTAACTCCTTTGGGGGGGGGGGGTATACAAATGAATTGGTTTGGACACATTAGTATCGTCACTATGCAGAGCAGACTGAAAATACACAGGAACTTGTAGCTTTGGTCTTAGAAAAGGTGGATTTTGTACATTGTATGTATGTGTCCAGAGAAATGACAAACTAAAAATCGACAAACCCATGTACTAACAAGCCTATCGTAACACTTCCAACATTCCCTGAGAGGGACCTAATGAAATCAACAAAAGCTTGATATTCGATGCTGGTAAATGTCACAAAAAATAATGTCCCTTTATAATACAATGTGCTAAGTGCAATAGTGTGACTTATCATTAGCTCAGCTGATTAAGAAAATACGCCAGGATACTTTTCACCCCCAATTTCGGCAACAACTGATCCACGAGAGTACAATTACAGAACTAATTGAGCATTTACATTCAATGGTTAATAAACTCAAAAGACTCCTAATTCTAAAATGGCATCACTCATTCATAACAAGAGTTCACATGAATATAAGTCACAGCAACCAGAACTGAGCATCCTTAGAGCAAGAAAAACCAAAACTCCCATAAACGGAGAAATAATGTTTTTTTTCCCCCATGCATTTAACACAGCGCAATGCCAGTGGATTTTAGACAGCCTGTTCTTACACTAAACAAGTGAATCATGCCAGTTGACATTGCTTCAAGTGTAATTAAGCAGAAATATACCACATCACTCATAAAACGTTTAAATCGTACACAGGAGAAGATTAGAGCTCAGAGATATAATTATGTAGTAATGGTATAATTATGCAATCGAACGTGTTAGAAATAGGGGTGTCATCAGCGGTTAGCGCTGCCAGGTGAGGAGGGTCGAGCAGTTTGCAGGGCAAAAGAGTAAGCCAACAGGACCAGAAGAGAGAGGAGGAGCAAATATAAATGGTAAAGGACAAGCCAGGGTCAGAGGTAAGACGGCAGCAGCTTGGGTTGTTATACAGACTGGTAACCAGTGCGACTCTTCCGCCGGCCAATCAGGTAAGAGATAAGAACTAGGATGATTAGGAAGCTGAGAGCCACACCCACAGCAATGGGCACGAGAAAACTCAAATCAGAATCCAGAAAGCATTCCTCCGCTGGGAGAAAGGGAGAAAGAAAGGGAGGGTGAGTGAGTGAGTGAATGCGGAAATAACACTCTACTGTTAGGCACTCAAAAGATTTTGTTAATCACAACAGGACTCACAATTCAGTCAGATCGATGGAGAATAGGCATTGTATTATGTGCCATACAGGCCTACCTTATAAATCACCACATTACATAATGTATTAATATTTGAAATATGAGACTGGTTTCAAAAGAATGTGTACATAAACCGAAATGACTTGATCTCTGAAATATTGCTAGATTAGCCAGAACTTGCAGATTCTCAGATTAATATTACGAATCAAACTGCTCATAGCCAGAGGTCTGACTTCTCTTTCTTCCAATCAGATAGGCCAGTAAGACAATAACAATGAGGACAGCCAGGGCAACTCCCACCGCTATAGGGACAATGAAGTTATCAGGCTCATCCGCGACGCAATCTTCAGCTGAAAATGAAGAGAATGAATGAGGGCAAACAAACAAGCAAACCAAAAGAAACAGCAAGAATGTGTCAAACTGCAGTTGAAACCTATCTGAAACAAATCTTTTGACATTTACATGGCAGTTTTTGAGTAAGACTGAAAAGATGGCCCACACCGCTTTTAATGTTATACACAATTGTCTTTCTCCATTTATTGCAGCTAAAAGCCCATTAAAACAAAGCCATTCCATTGCAAAAAACGAAACAACCAAGTCTCATGAAACACATCAAATGTTTAGGGCAGTCAGATAAGGAATCCCTTTTCACAAGTAAAACTGCAAGCGGAAAACTGTCACACAAGTATGTTCAGAGAAAAAGAAAAAAAAAATCCATCTTTATTTTACAAGTAATTGATGTAACTGATTGGATGGCAAGCAAAAGTGACTGCATTAAGCAAGGCACAAAATTATTAGTGACCAGTTTTGAAGGTTTCATTTGTCCTGGCTATGGTGAAAACACATTTACAAAAGATTCTGTGTGGATGCTGCATAGACTAAATTAGAATAGTGCATAAACAGTGAAAAATTCACTGGAAATTAAGAAAAAAAAACAAAACTGTGAAACCTAGAGAGCCATATGTGATAAGAACATAAAGACATAAGAGAAAGCAAAGAACTTATTCTGAAAAGGCTCAGCAACTGAAAACCCAAGTCATGTTAAATGTAACCAAAAAAAAAAAAAAAAATCCGTGCATCTTGACTCATTATTTGTGCATAAAACTAAGACATTTAAACATTAAATTTGATCTAAAATGAGAAAAAAACAGCCATATATTTATGAAATAACTGTTCACCACTTGTAGTGTGCATTGTCACATGACTTCACTGCTGCATGTTTAATTCAAATTTAACACACAGACAAAATGAGGTCAGTATAACAATATGACACACAATGGTTTGAAATATTTAGCATTACATCCTGCAGGCTTCACAAACACAAGGATCCACAGCCACTACTACCAAAGACAATTCAAACAGGTTCAAAAATTCATCTTGCAGCAAATACAATTCACAGTTAGCAAAAAGCAGAATGCATCTTTCAGGCTAGAATAAATTCAAAATTGTGAAGAGTAGCTGACAAGATGGCTGATTTATAATTAATTGTCCCTTTTCAAACCCCGGTAAAGGGTAAGCAAGCATTACCAAAACTATTTTGTAACAGCATTTAAATGCCAGTTAGCATTTCTTTGTATTATGCTTTACTAAGTGTCACTCAAATACACCAGGCCTACATTTATTACAATGGTCTGCATTTTAAAAATGCTTGTCATGTATTTTAAACATTCAAGCATTTGTATTTCTGTTCTGGAATTTCAATTGTTTGAACTTCCGTCCAGCATGTTTAAATGTTTTTACCCTCACAGCTGCTCTGAATACAGGACAACCAACATGATGCAAAAGCACCTGATTTCAATAAATGTTAGCTGTCCAGACAATATAGTGCAAAGTAACAACCTGTTTCTGGAATTACTTTTAATATTTAACTCAAAAGCTGCAAGACAGGTGAATATAAAGCGGTTTCAGTTTAAAGCTGTCGATACAGTTATGATAGATTTGATGGGCACAAATTAATCGAGCTAAATTACAAAATGGAAAAAAAAAAAAAGGACTGTCTAAAGAAGCAAGTGCAGGGTCTAATATGGAGCATTGAAATTTTAAATTGGCCATGACCCAAAATCTATGAAACTATGTTGTTCTTACATATAGAATATTTTCAACAAAATAGCAATGTACTGTGACTATAGCAGTAATTTGCATTTTAAGAAATGAAATAAGTGGGGCTTTAAGCCCAAACACAAAGTGACCGAGGGGGGGGGGAAACCGTGGTGCACACACACAAACTTAGTTCACAATAGGAAGCTCTGGTCCTGGAGTGCCACTGTATCTTTAGATTTTCAATATATTGCAGTTTAAGGGCTGGTGGATTAATTGACCACATTAGGACAAAACATTTGTTGACTCCTGTGGCCATGAGTCAGTTGCCAATTGAGATTGCACAAAAACCCACAATATTTACAATGGTCCAGGAACAGGCTTGTGTGTCCCTTAAAACACCCAGGATTCGATTCTGTGATTTTGTTGCATTACAGTGTTTGATATCCAACAAAGGTCCTTCGTCGACCAATCACGTATGCAATCACAACAATGAAAATCAAACCAGCCAGAGCGGCACCAACAATGATTGGGATTAAGAGGCTGGTGTCATCCATTGAACATTCATGGGCTGCAGACAAAGAGAACATGAATGAACGTAAGATGAAGCTGCTATCATCAACACCACTGCAGATATTCTCAAAGACATAATAATCACAGACACTTAATCTGGTAAAACCGGGCCATTTCTATAAGCCTTTACAGAATTATTCATCTTTGTTAACATTAGTTAATAAAAAGACCACTGATTATCAGTTTATAGTATCTCAGGTCCATTCAGTAATATTAGCATATTGCTTTGTTGAAATTAACAATTTAAATAAGAAATGCTATAAAAGTATTTTTCATTGTTAGTTCATGTTAACATTAGATGACTACTTTAGTTAAATGTATATTTATTATGAAGTGTTGCCAAAAATATAAATATTCAAACATGTTCTTGCCTTGCATTAAGACTACAATAGTAATTTGAACTCAGAGCTGTCAGGAACAGTTTGGCAGGAAATTTTAGACTTCGGTCATTCAACCTTGTGTTTGTGTCATGTAATTCTTTTTTGCATATAGGCCTACATCTTTGTACATACTTTCAATGATCTTGGTGCAGCAAGTAACATATGATATATGACCACAGGAAACCATGGGCTTATCAGATTTAGTTGTGCATGTGAGCTAGGGGTGGGCGATATGACCAAAATCTTGTATCATGATACGAGTAATTGTATATCATGATAACGATATACATCACGATATAGTTACTTTTTCTTTTAATAAGGTTATTATGATATTAAAATCTTTGATACCATAGAATTTTCATAATCCTTGTCACCAATGTCGATATCAAACTAATACAAGAAAATAATACACACAAAAAAAAACTCAAGCTCACAGGAGATAAATAAAGTCGGTGATGAAATAAGAACAAGAAACTAATTACAAGCAATAGGACAAATAAACTACAATAAATAAGAAATACATTGTGTAAATTAATTAGTCTTCACTGTGTAAGTTCTATATATATATATATATATATATATCTATATCTATATCTATATATCTATATCTATAACATGAATGGCAGACAGAACGAATATTGGACAGCTTCCCCTTTAAGACCGAAGTCCGGATCCAATATACTGTTACACGCTTTCTCTCACAACCGTTTACATTCCCTTAATGACTGTTTATGAGGATACTTGCAAAGCCAGGCATTTGGACGCATATAAGTGTTTATGCAATCGTTCAAAGCCAATAAAGTGGCAAAAATGCTCACGAGCTCTATTAGCAGCTGATGCGCGGCTTACGCACTCCTGAGGGTGTACTCACACTAGGCGTTTTGAACCGTGCCCGAGCGCGTTTGACCCCCAAAGCCCGGTCCGTTTGACTAGTGTGAGCGCTCCGTGCCAGCCCTGGCCCGGTTGGAAGAGGTGGGCCAGGGCACGGTTCGGTTGGGCTCGGGCGCGGTACGCATGCAGTGTGAGCGTTCGGTTGGGCTCAGTACGCATGCAGTGTGAGCGCTAACCGCGCCGGAGCACGGAACAGATACTATTTTGTGCACTACTGTCATCATTACGACCGCAAACATATTCTATTACTACACTACACTTTTCAATTAATTTCATTTAATCAAGTATATTTAGGTTTATAATGGCTCTGGTTCTTACCTTATTGATGAACAGGAAATGTAGCTTGCGAGTAAAGCTGCAAATTATTTCATTAACGTCATCTGCCTCCGTAATAATTTTCTGATACATACAAGTGAAAATCAATGCACAGCATAAATGATAAATGAATTATTATTAATTATTCGGCAGAATATTAGCGAAAGTGGTTTTCTCCGTTATCTCCAGGGCCCAGTTTTAAAAAAAATGTAATCTGGATCAAATTGATACGGATTTGGAAATCCCATGTTTTGCTATCCAGGATCACCTGATCCATCTTACTTTTATGCCAGTTTTTTAAAGGAACATTGGATTGGATCACTGTGATCCAAATACCAAATTTCAGGATTACCAAATCCTGTTTACCAGGGCCAGCGGGGGGGAGTGGGGAGGGGGGATAATCGCGCTCGGGCTCGGTTCAAGGCAACCGTGCCTAATGTGAGTACACCACACAGAAACAGAGACACCGCGCGCATATAGCTGTTGTTTGTGTTTCAACGGCCTAAAATGATAATTTGTTGTATTAAATTGCAGTACCTAAAAACACGTGCAAACATGAAGTTTTCGTGACCACGCGCACAGCAACGTGACGTAAGCGCGCATGCTGTTATTCATGTTTCTGCCTGCATCCCCGTGTAATGCATGTAAAACTGCCGTCATTCAAATGATGAAAAAGTATTGCCGTAAACAATGTTTTGCGGCACCACGAAATAAACGATAGAGCATAATATGAAACGATAGACTTTTAATTTCGCCCATCCAATATATATCGTCATTTCGCCCAGCCCTAATGTGAGCAGTGCCCAAGTTTCTAAATGAATACTAAAGTGCTGGAAAGCAAAGTGGCTTTTCACACCACTCTGAATAGCAATGCTTCTTGAACTGTAGTGAGAGTAGAAAAGTAGCTGATAAATGACAGAACTGAAGGACAGAGTCCAGTTATGAGTTATGCATATGCTGTATAATTACCTCTGATGAGACAATTATCTCAGCTTTATTGTTAAGCATCACAAACGAATACATACCTGTGTTAAACTTGTTGTTCTGGACTGCAAAGGGCTGCACTTGCAGCTCGAACGTGTTGAGGGTAAGCTTGTCAGTGATGTTGTAACTCTGCTCTTTTCTGCACATGTAGGAGCTTCCGACAGATGCCTCCCACAGAGACAGATTATTATTGGAGGCATTGAAAACGTTTCCTGTTGAGGTAACACCAATCAGAGGACAGAATATGATTACATGACAAGAGATGTGACACCATTAGGGATACACAATATATTGGCACCACACTGGTTATGGCTGATATTATGATTTTTATTTACATTTTATTTTTTAATCAGTCAATATTAGATCACACTTTATGTTAATCTAAAAAAAATATCTAATAACTTAATACTGTTAAATGCAATCTTTAGCAAAACTCAAAATTAGTATCTTTTTCATATTAATTGTGATGGCTAAATTCACTTGTAGAATTTAAAAATGATTGATTTTAGTTTTCAGAGATTTAAGTTTAGACAAAATAGTATAGAATTTTAATGTTGGCTTATTATTGTCTTTAGATGAGAATAACAATGAGAATAAAAAGATTTAATGCAGTTAATTTTCACATTAAATATGCCTTACCATTTTCAAGATTAACAGAGAGCGTCAAAGCATGTAGACGGAACTTCTGTGAAACCTGTTAAAAAAAGAAAAAAGAAAACAGTCAGATGCAACCTGATTTCATGAGAGAATGTGATTACTTTATGAACTGGCAGTTTTGCATGAATATGTACAAAAACAGATAATTTTTTGAGAAAAACGAACAAGCATGATGGTCCAATTCTAACCCCATCGACCTTAATCAGGTTAGACGCAATATTGAATTCAACACATTTGAAAACAAGGCTGTGAGGAATAGACTTAGTCTTTACAATGACATGCACTGTATAAAGGTTCAAAATCATAATTTCTATGATGATTATGAGGAGTTTTATGTTTTTGTCTACTTGTTGTCAGCTGAACAATCGATATGTTGTTCAGCTATAATACAATCCACTGAACGCACCATACTTCTATCCATCACAGCCTTGTTTTCATGCCTGTCAAAAATTTAATATGGCACTACCCTGACTAAGGTCCACTCCCAAAACTAACCCCAAGTTGGTCATAAGCAGATCATATGAAAGAAACTGTACAATTCATTAAAAAAAAAAAAATCACAACATTTAAGAGCTGCCAACAGATGGCCAAAAACCCAACCAAGAACATCTACCACCCCCTTTGCCTCAGTGGACTTTAGTCGCCAGTATATTTGACTCTCTTCTTTAAAGACTTACATTTGTGAAGACAAAATGAACTGTGATTTCTTCTGACTTCAGCAGAAGGGAAGAGTCATTGCCACCACTTCCACAGGTTCCACTCACTTCAGTTACATTAGCACTTGGGTCAAAATTAAGAGTCTGAAAGCTGGAATTCTAAACAAGAACATGACAAAAGACTTGCAGTGGAGTAATAGCTTTTCACAACAAATTTCCATTAAAGTATCACGAATTTCAATTCTTGTGTTCCTCTGCACAGACATTTTGTACCTACCTCACTCATTTTGAAACTAAACTGAAGGCCCATCTTTGCCAAAAGACAGACTGTGACATTATCTGACTTGACGCTGTAGTTTCCAACAGTTGGGTCGGGGACAGGAGGAGTGGTCGGAGGAGGAGTTGGAGCCGTTGTAGCATTAGAGTGCGCGGTAGTTGGCACTTCTGTGGTGGAATTCGTTGTGTTGTGATTCATGGTAGTTGGCGCTTCTGTGGTGGAATTCGTTGTGTTGTGATTCATGGTAGTTGGCGCTTCTGTGGTGGAATTCGTTGTGTTGTGATGCATGGTAGTTGGAGGTTCAGTAGTAGATTTAGTTGTGGTGAGATGAGGGGTAGTTGTAGGTTCTGTAATAGATTTAGTGGTGGTGTGATGCGTGGTTGGACCTGTAGTCACAGCAGTAGAAGTGGCAGCTGAAGAGTGTTTGGAGGTGGTTGGAGAAGAACTGCCGGAGAGGATTTTGCTGGTACTGAACTCCTGTGTTGCAGGTAATGACGATGTTACCAGATCTTCAGCATGCACAATACCTGCACAGGGTGGAAGCATAATGTTATTTCCTCATCCTTCACATTATCGTGGGGTTTCCCATGTGACACTGAGAATAAACGAGCCTGCTTTTTCAAACTTCCACAATCAGATTTAGCTAAATGCTTATAATACAAACGCTAAATCACTAAACACTTAAACATAACAGGTACTTGGTTCAGCATTATATCAAAAGTGAAAAACTACTTGGGCACACCACAGCCTTTCAACTACCTCTATGCGTAAGGAAATAAAAACCGCAATCCAAGCACATTCCAGTACCTTCCTTCCTGACTGGCGGTAAACTAACATATCTAAAATATTGCATTGTATTTGCTCTTGTCTAAGACCTAACTGATTTAAGGGCTGGAATACAGCACACATTTTTTTGTTCTAAACCAGATTTTCAGGAGTTAATGCTAGTTGCCAGAAGTCAAAGCCAATCCACAAACTTTGGGCATTCAGTTAGATGTCACAGAAAATCACATACTGTGTGAGATGGGCACAGACTTTTTAGCTTCATACTATGATTCCATCCAGTTGGAGGATATTAAACAGGTTTAATATTTTGAACCAATTTTAGAACATATTGTTTTCATTTATCATGCATCTCAAGGTTCAAGTTTCTGCTTGAGTGTGTGGCTTTAAAATGACTTAAAAATAGGGCTGGGCGATATAGCTAAAAAATATATCAACGATATACGTTTCATATCGTTCGGTATCGATAATTATTGACATTTTTTTATAACCTTTTTTTAAAACAGAGCAATAGATGTTTTTAAACTTTATTTAAACACTGTATTTTTAATTTGCCCACTTTATTAAGACAAACAACACGTGTACATATATATACATATATCGTGCGCTATTGAACATTTTTTATATCGTTATCGATGAAGGTGTACCGTCGATAAATATCGATCCTCAGTCATTTAGTGTGCAACACCCGGTTTTTCTCTGTAACCATTTGCAAAGTCATCAAGTGTATGATGACTAGCGTTTAGAAACCATTCAGATTTAAATGTGGTGTAATGAATTCCAGCCTTTAGATCATCACACTGGGTGACTGTCCCCGGTCCTGTAGTTTGATGAAATCATTAACCTGGTACTTCACACACAAACCCATCACATGATTATGAATGAGGGTGGCTGAGAAAAACACACTGAACAAGCACTTCAGGATCACATGCTTGTGAAGTTAAATCTGACAAAGTGAGAGAAATCTATGGCACAACTTCCTTTTTTTTTTTTTTCCTCGCTGAAAAATGTTGAATTTAAACAGTAATTATTAAAATGTTAAAGTGAGTGTTAGTAAATATTAATACGGCACGTTAGTCTGTCTCAACACTAAATAAAATGACAATTATGACCAATATCACATTTTTAAAACACTTATTGTTTTATTACTTTATTTTATTATTGATTTTCTGGTTTTATTACAGCACTACCTAGCTTGAATCACACCGTCTGTGTCTATGTATGAAAACCTAGTGAACTACCAACCTAAACAGCATTTTTAGACATCAAATCTTCAAATTTTGCGCACATTGTTGTCTATGTAGGCAGCGCGCTAGGGTGAGACACGGCCAGAGTTTTTTTTTGTTTTGTTTTAATTAGTCTTAGTGCTCACAATTTTAATTGTACTAAATTATACAACATGTGCAACATCTCCTAAACATATTTTAGCCGTTTGTTGTTTTAAATTTAAATTCGCGAACAATCTAGCAGACAAACATCATTAGTTGAACGGTAATACACAGGTTATCTATTAAAACGAATTTATTGATCACCCTGAATTGTATTAATGTGTTTAAAACAATGCAAGGATGGTAAATATTTATCCCTCAAACTGACAGTCTTTCTGATTATCTAACGCGCTTCTATTGGCGTAGGTAATAATTCACGCTAATGCTAATGCTAACAGGCTCCTGTGGGCCTGCGATAATCTCCCAAAAATAAACTCAATATCTGCCTTTGTAACGCGACACCGTTTGAAATGAAACACGCAACAACACACTCGTACGTACCACTCAGTAGAATAAAGAGCAGGGTCACACAACCGCGGACAGCCATTGCGACGGGTGGACGGTTCCTCTGAGCAGACAGACGGTAAGTGACGCCCGGACCGAGTGTGACCCGATTCAGCAGCGCTATGAAATCAGCCTCAAACCTGCGCTCATATAAGTCATATGACTGGACCACACTCTCCTCCTCCTGCACATGAGCCTTACGTCGAGTTTACGACAATGTTCATTTGCCAAACCTGTGTGTAATTAAATCAGCCACAGAAATGTTTTATTACCGTTTCAGAGCGCAATAAGTACACCATTGGTTTACTAAAAGCTAACATACAGACTAAGTAAAAGATTTAAGGTTTTAATGTTATAAAAATACATCTATGATCTGATCACAGAAACTATTATAAAACCACTGTTGATCAGATCATATATATTTTTCATTATTAATACAAAAACATCCTTGTAGGTGCTGATTTTCTACAGTCAGATTTAAAGGGTTTGGTTAGCATATTTTATTTTTAAATAACTTATGCTTAGGGATTTCAAAGTTGACATATTTATATAAATATTGCTATTTTATGTGTGGAAAATGTAGTATTAGTTAAGTCCTCTATCCAAAAGACATTCTGAGGCTATAGTTATCACGCTTGTTTCTTATTCATGTCATGAATTTTTAATGTTTCAATTTCTGCTAATCAGTTGACCATAATTGGTTTCAATACAATTAACCAAAAATCAGACTAACCAAAACAAAAAATCTGTTAAAAACAGCAAAATTGTAACATTTATACTTACATTGAAAATTATAAACTGTGAATATTATAAACAGTACTGCAACAATTTTTCAGTATCATAACCATTTTCAACAACAAAATGTAAATGGGTCAAACTGACCCATAACATAATTCAAGGGACTTGGCAAAAAAGCTATTCAACATTTTCACTATAGCCCATGAAAAAAGATAATGTTAATTGAACACACGCTGACATTTTGTGACCCAATAGTGGGAATATTTTGTCATTATACAGCACATTATACGCATATTTTCTAGCTAAACTAAAACATTTTTGAATCACAAAACAATCATAAGGCAGACAAATGCAGTTTACATACAAAAAAACATAACAGAAATTGTAATTGTTAATTGTATTAAATGACTTAAAAAACATTTGACATCCTGGCCCATTAAAATGTGACAACTTGACATTTATGAATAACATTTTTAAAGCCTTTTAGTAAAAATAAACATAATATAGTTGGCCACAATTTTTTTTAAATGTAATGATATTGAAAGTTTAGCTTGGATGGTGTAATTCACAAACACTATTCTTATTTAATATAGTACAGAGTGCAAGTGTTTTCAAGAGTTTTGAGACTGCTCTGCGCATGATGTATTGTCGCCCCCTGATGGAGAAGACCGGAAACGTCAGGCCTCGCGCTTAACCAACGCGCCTCAACAGCAGCTGCGCAACGGTGGGAAGTACTTCCGGCGGGTCAGCGTCGCCTCTTAGAAAAGTTACTATTTCCCCGCGGACTTTTCCTCAAACCTAAAATACTAGTCTATCTCCCGAGCGCAAAGACGGCGTCTGGCAGAATGCTTTAACGCAAACAGCCCTCGGAGAAAAACAGTTTGTAATCCAACGGACTTTGTGCAGCGCGCCGGAGTGCGCGCGAGCGAGAGGAAGCAGTATTCAACCATCTTTCCTCTGCTGGCAATAACAAGAACAGAGAAGGGTCCAAGTGGGGCTGCACTTCTCAATTTATCCTCCTTTTCTCCTTATTTATACTCGGAGCCGCGAGGTTGCACGTCCCCCGACCGAGACCGAGGAATATAAAGCGTCCACACCCGGGATCGTAGCATTAGTAGATTAGCAATTTGATTTGGTATTTCTTTTTTCATGTTTCCAACAGGTTTACCTTCCCCTAATCCCCCACCGCCAGCCCAAGAGCCCAGACCGGCTGCTTCTGATGTTCACAACGACTGTAGCTTAACGTCTTCTAAGAAGAGGAAAATTAACAGTTCCGAGAAGGAAGACATTGATTCAATATCTTCGTCTCCTAAAGCCATTTGTAATTCCTCCTCCACAACGTCCAGCTCACAGCAGCAGCAGCACATCCAGAAGAAGTTGAGGTTCGAGGATCCGCTGGATGTGAAGATGGCCGAGGAGTCGTGTAACTCTGCTGAATCGTGTTCAAAGGCGAGAAATGTGTTCCTGCCCGGAGGTGTCGGGCATCATGCTAACGGACTGACCAAGTCTGCGGGATCCGCCACCTTCTCCAACAGCAAACCCGGTGCTGCGAAGAAACTTGTTATCAAGAACTTTAAAGGTAGGTGAAGAGACTGCGGTCCCCCTCGTCTAATTTGAAACATCTTGGGCTGTCTCAAAACTTAGCGAGCTGTATGCCTAAACGGCATTTTGGGCCAAACACACCTGCGATGTCCAGAAAAGATGCCTAGTACCTAAAGCTGTAGTAAACAACTTGAGTTGAGTTGAGTTGTCTCGGTGGAGATCAGCATTTTAGACTTTCTTATATAACTTTCTTTTGTTTATGGAGGAACATCACTTGAGTAAACAAAAACACTGTTGATCGAGATTAATTGATGTTCTTAACTGTAAACATCCTTTTCTATTTGTTATAATGTTATATAAAATGTTAATCTTTTATGTGTGTTTGTTTATATATATATATATGTATGTCTATGAATGTATGTATGTGTATATGTGTGTGTGTATATATATATATATATATATACATACATGCATACAGTGGTGCTACAAATTTCTACTCTGTTTCTTGCCGTCTTGTTAGGTTGAGAGTTAAAGTAAAGAGCATGCATCAGGGCTCAACATAAAGATTTTTTTTCAGTCCAAAATTTAGTTTTCGTTTCATGAAACGAAACAATGGCCCATCACAAACATGATGCAATTATTAGAAACATATTTTTGCAGATATTTTGAGGATTCTTTGATGTATAAAAAGTTTAAAAGAACCCATTTTTAATAGAAATTGTAACATGATAAATGTCTTTACTGTCACTTTTGATCAGTTTAATGCATCCTTGCTGAATAAAAGTATTAATTTCATTCAAAAATTCTTACGGAATCCAAACATTTGCATGGTAGTTTCAGAAATATATTTTTGTTTTTAATTAATCATGTATTTCTTAAAACAAAAGTAGCAAAATTGATTTAAATTTTATATAATAGCTGAACTTTTTACATAAAACTCATTAACGCTTTTGCTAGAAAACTATGGCAGACGGTGCATATGATGAGCTAAATATATGAGGGAACATTTTTCAGAAATGATGAGAAGTTGAGTCACTGGTTATTAATTAGGACTGTCTGCTTACAGACTGCTAATCATAACTGTGATAGGAAACCATTTCTTAACTCTTGCCCTACGGATGCCCTAGACAGTGTTCTGTTCCTCAAGAAAATAGACAAATGTTGGCAAGATCACTGCAGACAAATGGTTAGTCTACTCTAGTCTCTACATGTGTTTTTAATAAGTTAAAAGTTGAACTTTTTATAAAATGTTCCTATATCTAGTTATTTACCTGTTTGAAAAAAATGCTTTTAATACAAAAACATTGTCTTTTCTTCTAGATCATGATTAGGAGTATATTTTTGTTTTTGGATCGCACATATGTTTTACAAAATTCAATGCTGCCATCAATCTGGTATGTCTTCACACTTGATGAAAGATGTTGAATTTGTAACATTGGCACTGTCACCTTGGCTGTCTTTATTTACTACCATTGCTTTGCTGCTCCTTCCACTGGCGGTTAATGATACATTTGTGTTTTATCTTCAGGGACATGGGCTTGGAGTTGTTCCGTTTCTATATCATCAGTGACCTGAAGGTGCAGAGTAAGACAATCGATGGGATTCTGCTTCTTATTGAGAGAGAGCGGAGTGGAGAGGCCATAGACCGCAGTCTCCTGAGGAGTCTTCTGAGCATGCTCTCAGATCTGCAGGTTAGCTCACCTGATTTCTCATTTGTACTCAAATCAATGTATCTGGGTTTATGTTGCATTTATGGCATAACCATTTAATAATACTAATAATAATTTGGACTTTCTCAATTTTTTTAACTGCAAAAAAAAAAAGAAATTTACTTGTACTTCTTATTGTTTGCTTTAGTGGCATGTCTGTATAAAGTCAGTAAACCCAGTAACTGGGTGGGTCACATGACACAGACAAGGATACAAAATAAGTATTTTTAAGAGTCTGGTTAGTTTGGCATGCATTTTTATATTTGCTAGAAATATTATATTTTTGCAAAACAAAAATGTGCAAAAGCTCAGACTTTTTTGCTGAAAAAAAAGCAAAACATTGAGCAGTTATGAATATCAATGCACATTTTTTTAAAGCGAGTATTAATGTAGGTGTTCGTAATTCATGTTTCTGCTACATGGTACATGGCCCGTTTATCTCCATGGTAAGGTCTTTACTGTAACAACTTGCTTTTTTAAACTGAGGGATGAGTCAAAGTATTTTCATTACTCACCAACATTATGCCACATCCTGTCATTTGCATCTTTACACTTAGCCTCAGTAGCAAAAAATGTAATTCTGCATTAATGCATTGATGAAAGATGAAAACGATGGCAAATTTTCTACAGATCTTGTGGGGTCTTGATCCCTGATATTATTCAGCCCTTAAATTGTGTGGCCAAACCTGTTAGTTTTAGTATTGTTGTAATCACACCTTTGTTCTTTTTATGACAGATTTATCAGGATTCATTTGAGCAGCGCTTTCTGGAGGAGACAAATCGACTGTATGCTGCAGAGGGCCAGAGACTCATGCAGGAAAGAGAGGTGAGTTTCACATCAGGGGAACATAAAGTATTTATTTTATTTTTTTTATTTAATTTTATTGTTTTATTATTGTGATTCTGTGAGCATTAAATTATTGGCATGTCTCATGAATCTATGTTAGCTACAGGCTGGTACTTTGATACAGGCTAGATTTTTATTTTATTTTTTTAATTATGTAATCACCCTTGGTTGTTGTTTCAAATTTATTTACACCCCTACAAAGATATGCTGCTATTTTGTTTTTGTGGAACATAAAATGAAAGAACCTTTTCTATACAATCACATTTCTTAGCAACCAAAGGCTTTGAAGTATTCCAGGTGATTTGTGTTCTCATATGTTTTTGAGAGATGTAGCAGAGGTGAAGATTACTAGTATAAGTCATAAGGACCACTTTTATGGTGCTTTTCTGTCTGGCCTTTTGGAACTGTGATTGTATGAAAAAAAAAAAGATAAAAATGAAGATGTTTCACAAAATAAACAAACATACATTTTTGTGAACTATGCTTTTAATTAGATTTTTCTCTGCCTCATTTAGGATAGTCACATTTCAGTTCTTTATCCCTAACAAATATTTTCTTTTCAGGTGCCAGAGTATCTCCATCATGTCAACAAACGTCTGGAAGAGGAGGCAGACAGAGTCATTACATACTTAGACCAGAGCACACAGTAAGTATGCAGAGCATATGACTAACATTTACAATTAGTAGTTATTTTGGTAAAAAAAGATCTGTGAACCTTTGTCTTTTTTATTTGTAGAAAACCCCTCATTGCCACAGTGGAAAAGCAACTGCTTGGAGAACACCTCACTGCAATACTTCAGAAAGGTATCACCTTCATTGAATGAAGATGGTTGACATTGTATTTGGTGTTCAAATGGTCAACCATCCTCAAAATTAGAAGTGATTTACATAAGAGCTTGTTTTCTTGTCACACTCTAGGTTTGAATAACCTGCTGGATGAGAACCGTATTCAGGATCTGTCTCTGCTGTTCCAGCTCTTCAGTCGTGTGAGGGGAGGCGTTCAGGTGCTTCTGCAGCACTGGATCGAGTACATCAAGGTGTGCAGGGAACCCATCTAGATGACTGAGAAAACCATCATAACAGTTCTGAATGTGTCTTGTTTGTTGTGTCTCAGGCCTTTGGAAGCACAATTGTCATCAACCCAGAGAAAGACAAGACAATGGTTCAGGAGCTTTTGGATTTCAAGGATAAAGTCGATCACATCATTGATGTGTGTTTCATGAGGAATGAGAAGTTTGTTAATGGCATGAAGGAGGCTTTCGAGACCTTTATCAATAAACGGCCAAACAAACCTGCTGAGCTCATAGGTCAGTTGACAATGTTTTCCCACCAATCATTGAGGGTTTTTGTTTGATTGAGAGTTTAAAGCTGGTTGGATCAAGACAAAACGTTCACTAATTTTGTTTTATTTTCTATAGCAAAATATGTGGATTCAAAGCTCCGTGCTGGGAACAAAGAAGCGACTGATGAGGAACTTGAGAAAATGTTGGACAAGATAATGATCATATTCCGGTTCATTTATGGTAATACATTTAAACTTTATGCTCTGTTCCAAAGACCCAGAAAATTTTCAATTATCTGTCTAAGCTTCATAGACTTTCTCATCTCTCTCTCTTAAGGCAAAGATGTTTTTGAGGCCTTCTACAAGAAAGACTTGGCGAAGAGGTTACTGGTGGGAAAGAGTGCCTCTGTAGATGCAGAGAAATCAATGCTGTCAAAACTGAAGCATGGTAAATTACATTTCTCCTTTCATATTTTATTCTTAAAACATACCGTTTTCAGTAACACAGATGTTTTCGAAAGGCTGTGAAGTAAAACATGGTCAATTGTGTTTTTCTTGTAGAATGTGGAGCTGCATTTACCAGTAAGCTGGAAGGGATGTTTAAAGACATGGAGCTGTCAAAAGATATTATGGTGCAGTTCAAACAGGTAATGATAGCTTTTATTTTCATTATTTACATTCACTTATTTTGTGTCTAGTTACATCTTACAAATCTCTCTTTTCAAATCTGCACCTCAGCACATGCAATGCCAAAATATTCCTGGGAACATTGAGCTGACAGTGAACATCCTCACTATGGGTTATTGGCCAACATATGTACCCATGGAAGTACATCTGCCTGCAGAGGTCTGTTCTGATATTGAGAAATGGGATCTTGGATTAGATATTCCTTGTTACTTAAACATGGCAATAATACCCATAATTCAAATTAATCGCATTATAATTAATTTTTAATCTTTTATTAATACCTTTCACTCTCCAGATGGTGAGATTGCAGGAGATTTTCAAAACGTTTTACCTGGGCAAACACAGTGGACGGAAACTACAATGGCAGTCTACGTTAGGACATTGTGTTTTAAAGGCAGAATTCAAAGAGGTAACGCGTTTTATTTCGAAAAGAGCAACTTGGCATGAATACCGGACTATTAGCTGATCATAATATTTATTTACTTAATTTAAAACATTCTTTTCTAAAGGCTTCTCAGAAAAATAACTGGCTATAAGGAACCCCCCCCCCCCCCCCTTTTTT